AGATTTGTAACTCCGTGACAGATAACAAATACAAATTAATATGCACTCACTGTTCCGTGACCCAGCTGGTTCACATCTGAATAAACTGTTGATATCACATGTTAAACGGACAGAGTTGAAACGAAATTCTCTTGAACAAATAAATTAAAAAATATTACACGATCCAAAGTGAAAATACATATGACCACACCCTATTAACTAGGAATGTTCATTTCCGTGAGAACAATTCGTTTCAGAGTAGGGTTCCCAATCAAGAATGAATCATCATCATCGATCGCCTAACAAGCCGTTGAACAAGGCCTCATATTCTGTTCACAAAAGCAGATGATTTATCCAACCCTAGACTGGTGGTATAACAGCTCTATACAGGATTCAGAACAGTGAAAGGAACAGTATTCGAGTAGCACATCACAACGCTGAATTACAGGACTGTCAACACGGTATGGTCTAGTCTAGCTCCTTCCAATAGCCTCTTCTGAGGGCAACCGAAAAAACAGTGCTTATGAATTCACGACGGTTTGGGGAACAGACGCCAATTCTGCAAGGGGCAAGAAATTTTCGCCACTATTGCGTAGCAGAAGGCATAACGCTAAAAGCTTATACACAGTTGGGCACAGCATGACTAGTGCCAAGTATTGATGCGCGCCAGTTTTCAGTTCATGGATCAAATCACTATTAGTTCCCCACTTGTAAGAGGCTGTTATTTGGTAGGCAATATAACTTAACGTTGTTGTATTCTCCTGATCACTTGGGATCATTCTGCAAGTACCCTGGGAGAACGACCCCATAAAGATCGAATAGGACTTCACCTACCGGTATCTGTGGCCAGGCTTGGAACCCGTTCAGTTAGCAAGTACGCATTCGTCTTGAAAGGAAAGCGTGATATTTCGTCCCGTAAAACCTTTAGCCGTGATTATTGGTATCCGACGCTCACTGAGAATGGAAATGATCCAGCCCCGCAGTTACGGCTAGCAGTTTTGAGATTCGCAAGTGTTTGATTCAGTGCCCTTTTCAAGGTGCTGTCATCGCTAATAACTGGGCATGCGAGATGTAGATCAACGAATCAAACAAAGTAATCTTTGCACAAATGTAGACCAGTCATCATAGACACGACGCTAAAGTAGTAAAGCACAGAACAGAGCAAAAAGTGATCGATTTCTGGTGGCGTAGGAGTGACGAAAACATTTTCAAATCCTTTTTTTCTGTTTCACTTTCGGGATTGCAAACATCGTTTGCAATTCACCAACTGGAACCCGTGGCTTGGTCACGTTTAAGCCATTTTGTGACAATGCCTGTTCGAATGACCAATGAACGCTACGACAAAAGTTAAGGAACTTCCAGTTACACATAACCGAGTTTTCCACATTCACCAGGACCTGTGGTATAGCTGATCTGTTGCTACTCCCACGATTGGCAGTAGCGGACTATATGGAAGGGGGCAAAAACCTAACGTAAATATGCAAATGCCTGCTGCGAGATAGAATAAACAGAGATTTATGGTACTGATGATCGTAGTAAATAAAATTCCAACCGGCTGCTAATACACCAGGCTATTTGGAGTGGTTGGCCAAGGTAAGTGAAAACTCAAACATCATCATCAGTATAGCCTGTCAAGTTTATCAGAACCAACACTGTTGCAAACAAACAGGAACATTGAACCGGTTACGCCCGAATCGGAACTCACCGGACAAATCCAATTTTCGTTTAGGCAAAGCAGCTGTACGCACCACCGCTTTCTTAAGACATCGAGCCACTTGTTCCGACAGTGGAGGAGATGGTCTGCATGGTTGACCAAACGAATCCCTCAAACTGGTACTGACATCTGTGGTACGATCAGAGTGATTGTGAACCCAATCTGGCGTACAAAGCGTTTCCGCGGCTGATTTGGAAGAAGCCGGGACTTGGATGGTCGGAGTGGACATTTTTATGGGCGGGGTTGATTTCATGGAATTTATGGATGCGGTGGTTGGGAGCTGAGCGTTTTGTTGAATTTCGGTCAGACGGCGATCTTTCGGAGCCACAGTTGTTGAGCTCACCTTATTCGTAACGCATGTTTCTGGTGGTGCGTTTGGATCAGTAACTGGATAGGCTGCGGTATCAACCAACTTCCATTGATCCGCACATGCATAGAGCCAGTTTCGATTGACCACCGGCAAGCCCCATTGCTTTGCTGCTGGACATTTGCGCCCCTCGAGTTTGGCGGCCACGAGATGTGTGCTCGCGGCTAAATTGCGAGATGGGATTGCTTTGCACAGGAAATAGTCCTGCACAACTGCCCCTAGTGCTTGCGAGTAGCGTGTGAGAAGAGTGCGATCTCGACCGACAAATCCGCTCAACGAGATCACACAACCGTCGAGTGGTAGCGAGGCCGAACGAACCAACGGTGTAAAAGCTTTTTCACATTTCAAATCATCCCAACAAATCGATGAAGCGGCAATACAATGTCCAATCCAGTTTACAGTAACGAGTGTGCATTCCGCAGAGCTGGGTGGTTTATTTTGAATGAAAAACGGTGCCACAATGAAGCTGGCAACAAGTGAACTGTCTGTGATTTGACCACCGGCATCACGAATGCTCTCTATTACTTCCATTCGATCGGATGACGGGACTTGATCGTGAAGATAAAAGACATATCCAGAGAAGCAGCCTGTTCGAACTTGTACGGTAGCATCCATGTCCGAGACAAGAGCCTCACAAAGCTGACGGGTTTCCGAAGCCACTTGCGTTCCTGCTTTGGTTACGTTCTGTTGTCGTACAGTATTTTCCCGATTAAAATCATCCATATCGGCCAAACCTCCAGCACCAAAATATTGATTAATCAGTTGCAAATCTTCCGTATCCATAGTTTGTTTGGAACGGTCATCCAATTCACCATCCGCAGCTAAAGTTTGCTCCTCAGTCTCATCCGATTCCGGTGAGTTGGCAAGATGTTCCGTCTCGGATACACGTTTGTGGGCTTCTTGACAAGCAATTAACCACGAACCTTTCACATAGAACACATCTTTTTCCATTGTGGCCGCATTCAATTTGGTGCTATTTGATGATCCGACCACAGCGTGAGTTAATGGTTCAGTAACACGATCTTGCAAGTCGGTACACAACCGACCACCAAGTTCTTTCACTAGGGACGAAAACTTGGTATGTTCCTCACGCGTACACTCAATCAACTGAATCAAACAATCGGCAAGAATGGGGCGCTCAACTGGAGCGGTGGATTGTCTATGTATGAAACTGTCTACCGAACGAGCGTCTGAACGGGTCTCATCGATTCTTGTCGTACTGTTAATCGCATGACTGATCATGGATAGATTATCAAACGACAATGATCGTCGATTGTTCTCGCACAACGGAGTGGACGAATTCTCGTGGGTTTCCGGTACCCGATAGTCCATCTCATCAAGCGCGTACCCTTTACTCACCGAATCCGTTAACCAGTTCACACTGACAATTTGTATTTTCCACTTCTTTGCGTGGGCATATTTCAATCCGGATGGATGTTTGATGATGAGATGGGTGGTCTCACCGATTTTCATCATCCCTGAGTACCGTCCTCCGTGTTTAACAACCAGATCGGATACTTCTTTACGTTCCTCAGCCGATAAACCGGAAACACAGATCACCAGTTGAGCGAATATTGGAACACGAAAGCGATCCATGAACGTCGGTAGCATCATATCGATCGGATCTTGGATGGCAGATAGTTTCCACGCTTCGGTGATCCAGCTCGGCAGCAGCATATTCACACCACGACTGGAACCGACCAAATATTTCTTCGATCCCACTTTCGGTGTGATGACCACATTCACTCCATCGAACAGATCGCGAGACGCTTGACCGTGTAGCATTTGAATAGAACTCAGTAGATATTCTCGTTCGGATCCGGTCACCGAAGTGACCGTGGCCACGGCACGCATCAGCGCAGTTGAGTAAAGCGGATGGGATACCCGTGGCAAAGGTTGATTTTCTCGAATATAGTGCAAAATAATCTGTGGGCCGTAAATGGCCGCACCCAGCGATCGTAAATGTTCAAAACATTCACCCTCAAAGCGACAGAATACAAAACAGGTGCGCTTTGAAGGTTTGGTGGGATAACGGTTTAGTACTTCCGCCGCGTCCAAACGTTTCGCAGACAGATTCTCGTAGGCGGAAACCGCATCAAAAGCTGCGGTTAAAAGGGCGGTTGCGTAATCATTGATGAAAACTATTTCGTACTTGTCTTTATCCATTGAGAGATCGGACTGAAAGAATGAGGGAAATTGAGGAAACTATCAGAGGAGTGCGAAACGGTGAGGTGAATGTAAAACAGACTTAGAAAAAGGCGGAGTGATAATGAGATTTTCGTTAGAGCTAGTTCAAGTGGAGCATCAGGCAACCAGTTATTGACGTGGTACTTTCATAATGAAAGTACCACGTCAACGCGAATGTTGGTAAGTGTAATCAATTGATAGCATCACGTACCAGAAAGGTGCATATTTATCGAACACATCATTAACACGGCAAAAAAAGCAAAACGGGAACATTTTACAAACACGACAGCGTGTTAATACGGAACGTGTTTGTAATTTTACCCATTTCTTATTCGGAATTGGTACCTGCAAAGAGATACTTGTGGCGTGGATCAAGTGGATGAAGCGGAAACCCGTTTACTCAAGTCAACGTGCCGGAGATGATCAGCTTTAGCTATAATTTTATGTGAAAATTCGCGACTTCAGTAGAAATGGGAGGCTTTTAGAAAATTTCTGAAGTGAACACGAGCCAAAGGAAAGTGGCCTTACCTGACCCTGCACTATTAATCATGAACCCCTTGTTTGAGGGTGAGTCACGTACCTGAGAGGCAGCAACGATTTAGCATCACATGGCCTTACTGGTCACTTCGTTGTTCACTCTGTAAATGCTTCAATGCGTGTGATTATTTATGCTAACAGAAATACTCGAATACAAAATGCCTCTGAAAGCCTCAGTATGGTCGGGGGTGGGTGTCTAGGGTCGCGGCTGGTCACCCTTCCCTTTTCACCTCGCCAAACGCTCCCATACCACCAAGCGTCTTAAATAACATCTGCTGAGGAAGCAGTACTCAGCCTTCTCGTGGCAGAAGTATTTTCCCACCAAAGTGAGAGGACGACAAACCGGCATCCGGGGCTTTAGCCCGGTTGCTGAACCACTGGCAGTTCACCTAGGGGAGTTGGCCACAAACCCTGAGTCCAAACCAAACAAGAGGTGTACGAACCTCAGACACCAGTCTGGTTGTGACAGTGGTCACCGGCTCAATTGGGCATCAAGATAAATTGGCACCTTGGACGTTTGACTACATCCAATGAACTGGAC